AGTGAAAAACATAGCAAAGAACATAGCATTGTGTCACATACAAAATTTATCTATTTATACAGGCAGCTTATACCGTGGCCCTCAACTTACAACAGTTCATTTAGTAACCATTCAAAGTTACAACAGCACTGAAAAAAGTGACTCATCACCATTTTTCACACTTATGACCATTGCAGCATCCCCATGGTCATGTGATCAAAATCAGACACTTGGCAACTGACTCATATTTATGATGGTTGCAGTGTCTTGAGGCAACGTGATCACTTTTTTGTGACAAGCAAAGTCAATGGGAAAACCAGATATGCTAAACAACTGTGTTACTAACTTAACAACTGTGGTAGTAAAATGGAGCAACATTCATTTAACAAATGTCTGATTAAACAACATAAATTTTGGGCTTAATTGAGGTCATAAGTTTGAGCTAAAGTAGCATATGACTTCTGATTCACAGAAATAAACATTTATTTTAATATATACCCAAAGAATGTTAGCTTTCTATCTGTTTCAGTGTTGTGAATACTAGCTTTATTTTAAATAAAACAAATAAACTGAAACAAACAAGGACCACATAAATAACTAAACTGAGCTGTCTATGAAACCTTGTTTATCATCAAGTGTTTCTTTAGAAACTTGAGAAAACATATTGTTTATATACCAAACATGAGCAAAACAGAGACTTTTCAGTCCAGTAAAATATCTCAGCTGTGGTTTTGTGATTAATAAAAAAGTGTCTATAGAGCAAAGGCATTGATTGTCTCATTATTATTTGTAATGAGGCACTAGTTCCTCTTCACCGTTCATAGATTAATTACAGATATATTATGATGGAGAAGGAGAATTAAATTTGCTATTAAAGACAAAAGCTTTGCTCCTGATACTTTGCTAAATTCCAGTCTAGTACAATAAAAGGGTGACTTCCTTAGATTGCTAGAAAATTTAATTGTAGATAGTTACTCTCCATTATACTTTTAAAATTGTTGCACAAATTCCCTAAGCTCAACTTTCTTGCCTGTAACTTATTGGCTAGGTTCATACAACACACCAATTTAGTTATCTATAATGCAACATACAAAGTCAACATTAAGAAAGATTGGAAATTTCATTTATCAATGGCTAGAAACATGAGTTAGAGAGAAAGGAATGTGAAATGTAACTTTGAATATATATTAGTAAGAAGAAGACTATCAAGCGATTAATTAACATTGTTTATGATAATTAACTATGATTTATTATTTCTTGATAAACACAAACAGGCATTGTGCTGTTTGCTAAATATTGAGAATGTTATTTGGAAAAAATCCTAACCCCAACCTCAATCCTAATCCTAACCCTAACCCAAATCCCAATGTAGGGTTAGGGTTAGGGTTAGGAATGAGGTGATCCCACCTCATTCCTAACCCTACAAAAAGTAATAAAATTTATACAAAAAAAAAAGAAAGAAAGAAAGATTGGAAACCTCACTGAAAATAAAGTCCTCTTCCTCAAATGCATTATAATTTTTTGTATTCTCTTCAAAAACCACAACTTTTCTCTCTTATGATTTGTTTTTAAATGTTATTTGTTCATTCATAAATAAATAAACAATCTTAAAGTTCAACACTACTCACAATGAAAAAATGATTGATGAAGATGATGGAATTTGTAAAGATGGCTAAATTAACTTCTTTATTAAAAAAAGGAAATAACTACATTTATGACTGACTGGAAACTTTTTATAAACTTTTTTGTATGAGACAGAAAAATAAGTTCCTATGATTTGTGGTTTCAATGATTAGATTTCATGATTTTCAAAGGAAAAAAGTAAGCCATTTTATAATCAAAGAGTAAAAGATAATTTTGATCATACTTGTATTTGCTGCAAAGAAAACTGAAAACTTACATTTCTTCTTATCCTTTCTTTCTGCATTTTTTCTCTTTTTGTTCTCCTTATTTTCCTTTAGGTTTTGTTAGTTTTTATATTCTCTTTAACATTTGTAATAAAATGTATATAAAAATCCATAAATAAATAAATAACCTTACAGCTCCATGAGAATAAATGTTCCTAAGAAAAGGAAATAATTCCATCCAGTTCTAATTTGAAACATGATCAAAACATATCACAAGCAGAAACAGTTACAAATGCTTATTTCTGACTTAAAACAACCCAAAACACTGATGCACTTCCATAGTGAGGTCATGTAAAGACTAAGCCAGTTATATTGTAATGTAATGTTGCATTTGTTCATAGGCAGCTACTTTCAGATTCAACACTTCTCTTAAACTAGCCATCTGTTCTATTTCATAAATTTCTTCTCTTGAGCAATCCCATATACATGTACACACAGAGAGAGGAACATCAAATCTAGGTACAGTACAGTTATGTCTGGAAACCTTCTTTGAATAAACATGAGATGGATTGGATTGAACATGAAACAGTTGATTAATGAAGCAATAAAAGACAATCTATTCTTTCCCCATTTTGTGACCTTGGTGTTGAAATAGAACAACAAATTTAAGAATGTAGATTTAGATTCATTTTGTATTCACAGTTCTTCTTTAAAATAGCAATATTCTTGAGTATATAAAAAACCCACTCACAGAAAAAGGGAAGTAAAAGTGTGCGTGTGTGGGGGGGGGAGGCTTGAAGATGAAGCATATTTAGCACCATTCTTTCCTGAATAAGACCTCATGGGCTTATTTCTTGACAACAACATGGAAGTTATACAATATATACCACAGGTATACAAATGAACACAAATGGAATTTTGGGTATAGGGGTATACTTTGGGTATACTAAACACAAGGAGACCATAAGGATACCATAGAACAGAGTTTCCCCATGGGACTCAATGCTGGAAGATAAAGAGATCAGTCATCAAACCCACAACCAGGATAGAGCCTTTTAAAAGACATGAAGATTGCCAACCTCAGTTTCTAGTAGCCCTGGTGGCATACTGGTTAGACTGCAGTATTGTGGCTATTTCTGCTGACTGACTGCAGTTCAATCCTGATAGCTCAAGATTGATTCAGCCTTCTATTCTAACATCAGTAAAATGAAGACTCAGATTGTTGGGGGCAATAGGTTGACACTCAGAGAGTGTGGTAAAAGCACTATGGAGGTGTATATACAGTAAGTCTAAGCACTATTGATTTTTTTTTATTGAAAATTTTTTAAAAGTTTTACAAATAAACAACCAAAAACAAATCAACCCTCACCCAATCCCTCCCAAACCCACCCCTCCCTCCCCCTCCCCGAATTTCCCAGAACTGAATATAGGCTTATTTAAAATTTTAAAAAACCTAAACAAATTTTTACAACTTATAAAATAATTAATAATAAGATATATGTGACATAGGCATTAAAAAAAAAATACTTAAAAAAGAAAGAAAAAAGAGAGGAAAGAGAGAGAGAAAGAAAAAGAAAGAAAGATAAAAAAATAAAAGAAAAAAAGAAGGGAGAAAACAAAAGACGGGAAAACAAAAAAAAAACAATCTATACAAGTTATGAAAAAGCTAAATGATATTTTTCCATATCCAAATTATATTGTATAAAATTTATCTATTTTTCCCATACAACAAAAAATTTCTCTTGAGATTGCTCCTTTAAGAAAGCTGAAATCTTTGCCATTTCCGCCAAGTAAGAAACTTTATAAAACCACTCTTGTAAAGTAGGCAAAGATTCCTTCTTCCAATATTGTCCTACTAACAGCCTTGCGGCTGTAATCAAATTTAACATCAATATAACTTCCTTAGCATCACAATCAGTAACAATACCTAATAAAAATAATTACGGGGTAAATTTTACCCTCCTTCTAAAGATTCTTTGAATATTCCACCATATCTTAATCCAAAAAGCTTTTATATTTTTACACGACCACCAAATATGATAATAAGTAGCGTCCAAACAACCACATCTCCAACATTTAGGCTGTAGATCAGGGTACATAGTAGACATTTTTTGTGGGTCGAGGTGCCATCTATAAAACATTTTATAAAAATTCTCTCTTAAGTTCTGCGCTTGTGTAAATTTAACATTCCTCACCCAGATAAGTTCCCAAGTATCCAATGGGATTGGTTCACCAATATTTTGTGCCCATTTAATCATACAATCTTTGATTAATTCAGATTCTGAATCCATTTCCACTAAAACCCCATAAACCCTCTTAATATGAGTTGGTCTTTGATCCCTTACTTGTTTAAAAAGATTTTCATCTTCTCTAAGCCAACCTATATTACGATCCGTCTTCCATCTATCCACTATTTGTCTATATTGAAACCATGAGTAAGTAATGTTTTCATGTACTAAATCTTCCAAAGATTTTAACTGCCAATTTTGACCATCCCATCTAAGTAGTTGTATATAGGAAACCGTATCCATCTTAACTCCTCTCTTTATCCCCTCTATCGCATGCCAAGGTATAGCCCATAATGGTATTTTAAAATCACTTTTATAATATTTCCTCCACACCCTAAGCAAAGAAATCCTTATAATATGAGATTTAAAAACCCGATCCACTTTTTCATTAAAAATTAAATAGGCATTGTTATGTCCCGAGCCTTTGCAAACGGCTCGGGCGTTTGCAGGCAGTCCCGGGCAGGTGCAAAGCTGCCCGGGACCAGACAGGCTGTCGCCAGCGCCGTGCGCATGCGCGGGTGCTGGCGCGGGAAAAGTAACCCATTTACCCGGGAGTTGCCTATATAAGAGGCTGCGAGGCGTTTGGGCTGAGCTGAAGCCATCTTCCTGTAAGCTGAACGCTGAATAAAAGAACCTGAGAACTCCAGCTGCTTCTCGTGTCTGTTTTCCCGCCAAGGACGTAACACTGGCGACGAAGGTGGGATGCCTTGCACTACCTGGAAAGGAAAAAGTGTAAGCTTACCCAAGGAGTCCTGAGCGGCGGAAGAGGAACGGCGTCGACTCGGCAGCTGCCCGCCAATCCGGTGCGCATTCGGGGGTAGGCTGGCTGATAGACCCGTCTCCTGAAGATCCGAAGATGGCGAAAATCGGAAGGCTTTCGGAATTCGACGTCTCACATCCAGAGCGGTGGGAGTCCTACGTATCCAGAATGGAGAACTACTTCAAGGCAAATCAAGTGAGGGAAGATAGCTTGAAGGCGGCCACCCTGCTTTGCGTTTGCGGCCAAGACGCCTTCGAAATCGCAGAAAATCTTGTAGCACCTGTTCCAGTAGAGTCTGTAAGCTACGCAGACCTGAAGAAGCTGCTGAAAGAGCACTTCCACCCCAAGGTGTCCGTTATCTCATGGCGCCACACCTTCGAGCAGAGGGATCAACGGTCCGGTGAAACAGCCAAGGAATACATCGCCGCGCTACGGAAGGCCGCCAAGCCCTGCGAGTTCAAGGACCTCGAGGAACGACTGAGGGACCGATTCGTGTGCGGGCTAAGGCATCGAGAGCTACAACAGAGACTTTTTGCCAAGGAAGAATTATCCTTCCAAGACGCCTTAAGGGAAGTCACCGCAGAAGAAGCAGCAGGCGGCGCCATCAAAAACATGCGGCCGATCAGAAACAGTGCAGAGGGTGCGTCCGTGCACCAGGAAGACGTCCGACGAAACTCCGAGGAGGATCCGGACGAGGAAGTCGACCGTCTACACCCCGCGAAGGAAGAGAACCAGAAGGGAAGCTCTTCGGCTCTGCTCAAGTGCATCGGCTGTGGAGGTCGCCACAGGAGAACCGACTGCAAGTTCCGCTCCGCTACCTGCCGGGCATGCGGCAAACAAGGGCATATTGCAGCTGTGTGTCTGAGCCGACGAAAGGCACAACCCCAAGAAGAACGCCTGAAAGGTACCAGATTCCCCAGCCAGAATAGGGTAGGGTTTTGCGCTTCGCGAAGAAGCATCTGTAGAACAGGCACACACAAGCCCATGAAGAAAAAGCTGTCACTCAACGTGAAGCTACAAGGGGTTCCATTATCTATGGAACTAGACACAGGGTCTGCCCTGTCCATCATTTCATTGCATACATTTAGGAAGATTTGTTCCAGTAGTGGGTCTAAGGCCAAGTTAAGGCCTTCTGATATTGTATTAACAGATTTTCAGAACTCAAGAGTGTGTGTTAAGGGGGAGGCCACCCTTAACGTGCAATACAAGAGTTTTGAAGGTCCACTAGACTTGTTAGTAGTAGGGGGTGAAAGAACGAGTCTCATAGGACTCGATTGGTTTGAGGCCCTGGGGATACACGTCACAGGACTCAACAGCTTACAAACACTCGACCTACAGGAAGTCTGCAAGGAATTTGCAGATGTTTTCAGCCCCCAGCTGGGCACATTCAAAGGACCACCTGTGTCCTTAAAGCTAGACCCCACTGTCACTCCCATTAGGATTAAAGCAAGAAGGGTCCCTTTTGCTTTAAAAAGTAAGATTGACACTGAATTAGACAAACTAATCCAACAAGGAATCCTAGAACCTGTTGATTCCAGCCCATGGGAGACCCCCATTGTCACGCCTCTAAAGGCAAATGGGGACATTCGCATTTGTGCTGATTACAAATGCACACTCAATAAGGCATTGCAGCAACATGCCTATCCTGTTCCTGTGGTCAGTCACATCCTGGCCTCTCTCAAGGGGGGGCGTGTTTTTGCAAAGCTTGACCTAGCTCAAGCATATCAACAGCTGCCTGTTGATAATGATGCTGCCATAGCTCAGACTATTGTGACCCACAGGGGAGCCTTTAAGGTAAAAAGGCTGCAGTTTGGAGTGAATGTCGCTCCTGGGATTTTCCAAAGCGTAATGGAAAACACACTACGAGGTATACCAGGGGTCTGCCCCTACTTTGACGATGTCTTGATTGCAGGAGACTCCACACACATTCTAGCTGAAAGACTTAGGGCTGTCCTGTTAAGATTCAGGGAATCAGGCCTCAAGCTCAGAAAAGACAAATGCAAGATCGGGGTGCCTTCTACTGAATTTCTGGGATTCAAAATTGATGCTGCTGGGATTCATCCTGCTGAATCCAAACTAACTGCTATTTTACAAGCACCCAGGCCAAAGTCTAAGGCCGAACTTCAGGCCTTCCTAGGCCTCCTGAATTTCTACAATTCTTTTCTTCCACATAAAGCTAGTGTAGCTGAGCCTCTTCACAGGCTACTAGACAAACAAGCTGTGTGGCTGTGGTCACAAGCACATGAGGCTTGCTTTAAAGAAGTCAAGGCCTTGCTCACTTCTAACAGTGTTCTTGCACATTTCAACGAGTCTCTTCCTGTGTGCATCGCTTGTGATGCATCCCCCTACGGGGTTGGAGCTGTCCTGAGTCACCTCAGGTCTGATGGAACTCAGGTTCCTATTGCATACTACTCCAGAACACTTGTCTTCTGCCGAGCGCAACTACGCTCAGATAGACAGGGAGGCTCTGGCTGTTGTTGCTGGAATTAAAAAATTCCACGATTTTCTATATGGCAGGCATTTCACGGTCTTCACTGACCATAAGCCTCTGCTGGGACTGTTTACCACACGTAAGCAGACTCCCCACATCATTTCCCCTAGAATGCTTAGGTGGTCTATTTTCTTGTCTGCATATGATTTTTCATTACTCCACAAGCCTGGGAAAGAAATGGGCCATGCTGATGGCCTCAGTAGGTTGCCTCTGCCAGTAGTAGAAGCTGACCCCGCGCCAGCTGTCAACATTCTATCAATCCAAGCCTTGCCCGAGCTCCCTCTTAGTGCCAGGGATGTTACCGCTGAAACGGGTACAGATCACACACTTTCACGTGTCCGCTCCTGGGTCCTGTCCGGGTGGCCTGAGCACTGCCCTAGTCCTGAGTTTCAGAGTTTCTGGTCCAAAAGAAACGAACTGTCCCTTTCTCAGGGTTGTCTGCTTTGGGGAAACAGAGTTGTCATTCCCACCTCAATGAGGACTAGGGTCTTAGAATCCCTCCACGAGGGTCATCCTGGCATTGTTCGTATGAAGGCTCTTGCACGAAGCCACTTGTGGTGGCCTGGTTTAGATAAAGATATTGAGGCTAAGGTGCACGCATGCCACCTGTGCCAACGATCTCGCCCAGAGATGCCCCAAGCTCCTGTGCATAGATGGGAGGAAACACAGTCCCCATGGTCTAGGGTGCACATTGACTACGCTGGGCCCTTTCAGGGCCAGTTCTTCTTGGTCCTTGTTGACAGCCATTCAAAATGGCTTGAGGTTGTGCCTGTCTCATCCACCACCACTGCAAAGACTATTCAGGTACTGAGGGGGATTTTTGCTGCACACGGGCTGCCAGATGTCATTGTGTCCGACAACGGCCCTCAATTCACCTCCTCCGAATTCCAAGCTTTCTTACAGGCAAACCTGATTCGTCATGCCACGTCTGCGCCTTTTCACCCGTCCACCAACGGTATGGCTGAACGCATGGTGCGCATCGCAAAGGACGCCTTGAAGAGACTCACCTACGGGGACTGGCATCACAGGTTGGCTGACTTTCTCCTTTCTTATCGCACCACACCGTCCACTTCTACAGGGAGAAGTCCAGCTGAACTTCGTTGGGGGCGCCAACTTACTACTAGACTTGACCGGTTGCATCCGGACAGACTGCCTTCATCTACCTCACATCCTAGGGCACCTAGACAACTACTTGTGGGTGCCCCGGTTTGGGCTCGCAATTACGGGCCTGGTCATACATGGGTCCCCGCTTCTGTGTCCAGGATCACAGGTCCTCTCTCCTACGAGGTTGCCCTGGACAACGGTCGTGTCCTGCGTCGGCACATCGACCAACTCCGCTCTAGGCGGGACTTTTCTGCTGAAACTCCTGGGTCTTTTCCAGGGGGGGAGGGGGACCCTTTGGAGCAAAGGGAAGGGCAAGAGTTACTGCCCATCTCCACTGAGGGAGCCACAGACGGCCCGTCCCAAGATTCTGCAATTGCTCCGAAAAGGAAGTCATGGAGCTTACCCACACAACAGGCATCCACGCCTACTCCAGCCAGGGAGTCACCCCGGGGGCATACTCACTTTCCACACACATCACACAGCACTCCAGTCACGGAGGATACCCGGGGGCATCCCAACAAATCATTCCCCGCAAGAGAGCTGGCACACAATCCCCAAAGTTGGCCTGACCTTACCCCAAATCCTACAGAGGGTCAAACATACACAGAGCTAGTCGAGGAACCAAGTCCCGACTACAACACCCCTAGCACAAATCAGGGGACACCTGAGTTTTGGGAGAGTACAGAAACCCACATGAGCCCAAACACAGAATGGGGTTCAGGGAATGGACAGCCTCCTGACAGGTCTTGGACTGACCTAGGAGGTCCTACAGAGACGCCCAGCAGCGGCTATCACTTCAAGGGGCCTGAGGGTCTACAGCTAGGCAGGTCAACCAGGTCACAAAGCAACAGAAGCCCTGGCCTGACGAGCCCGGTGGGCAAGCAAGCAGGCCAGGCATCGGGGCACAGTCCTTGGAAGACACCAGGGCACAATAGAGAGAATAGGCTCACGCCTCCCTCCAGTCAGGGGACTTATGCCAGTAACCCACAGCTAAGAAGGTCACAGAGAGCAAAGAAATCTCCCAAGTACCTAGAAGACTACATAACATTGCTGGCAAGGCAAAGGCCAGTAAACAGTGGGAGCACTGGGGAGCAAAATGTTATATAAAATAAATGCTGTATGTTGGTAGTAGTTTTAGCCCGGGGGAAAGGGGTGTTATGTCCCGAGCCTTTGCAAACGGCTCGGGCGTTTGCAGGCAGTCCCGGGCAGGTGCAAAGCTGCCCGGGACCAGACAGGCTGTCGCCAGCGCCGTGCGCATGCGCGGGTGCTGGCGCGGGAAAAGTAACCCATTTACCCGGGAGTTGCCTATATAAGGGGCTGCGAGGCGTTTGGGCTGAGCTGAAGCCATCTTCCTGTAAGCTGAACGCTGAATAAAAGAAACTGAGAACTCCAGCTGCTTCTCGTGTCTGTTTTCCCGCCAAGGACGTAACAGGCATGCCATCCAAAAAGTAAATCCCAACCCTCCAAATGGAGTATTTCTACATTTGTTAAATTCATCCAATCACTAATCAATGTTAGGACCACAGCATCATAATATAGTTTCAAATTTGGTACCTTGAGTCCACCTCTCTCACGAAAATCTTGCATAATTTTAAGTTTTACCCTTGGTTTTTTTCCCTGCCCAAATAAATTTGTTAATACCTTTCTGCCATTCATTTAAATTAAGTTCATTCTTTAAGATAGGTAACATTTGAAACAAAAAAAGAAATTTTGGTAGAACATTCATTTTAATAACTGCAATTCTACCCATAAGAGATAACTGTAAGTTATCCCAATTCTTTAAATCCTTCTGTACCCCAATCCACAACTTTTCATAATTGTTTTTATACAATTTTACATTAGAAGCAGATAATATGACCCCCAAATATTTTACCTTACCAACAACTTCAAAGTCTGTTAAGTTAACCAAGGTCTGTTTATCGCAATTGGTCATATTTTTGGGTAATATTTTAGTCTTATTATTATTAATTTTAAAACCCGAAACACACCCATATTGATGAATCAATTGTAATAATTTTACTACCGAGTAGGTAGGTTGAGACAAAGTAACAACCAAGTCATCTACAAAAGCTCTTAACTTATATTCTTTTTTATTAATCTCCATTCCTTTTATTTCTTGAGACTCCTGAATTTTAATCAACAAAATTTCCAATGTTAAAACAAATAATAACGGAGATAATGGACATCCCTGTCTTGTACCTTTTTCTATTGTGAAAACCTCTGACAAACCCCCATTAACAATAAGTTGAGCAGTCTGTTTTTGATATATGTTAGATAAAGCTTGTAATATATTTTGTCCAAAATTCATCTCCTTGATTAAACATAACATAAATTGCCAATTCAATTGGTCAAAGGCTTTTTCAGCATCCAAAAATATCAGCCCTGCAGAGACTTGGTTGGTTTTATCTAAATATTCTAATAAGTTAATAATTTGTCTAACATTATTTTTCATATACCTTCCAGTTATAAAACCCGATTGGTCCTTATGTATAAGCTGCTGCAAGACCCCCATAAACCTATTAGTTATAATTTTTGCAAAAATTTTATAATCCACATTTAAGAGAGATATAGGCCTATAATTCTTGGGCAAAGTGAGATCTTGATCCTCTTTTGGAATCAAAGATATAAAAGCATTGCGCCATGACAGAGGAATCTCTAAACCCTGTAATATATTATTAAAAAGCTCACATAAAGGTTGAGTCATCTCTTCTACTAAAGTTTTATAATAAATAGATGTCAAACCATCCGTACCTGGCGCTTTGCCTAATTTTAATTGCTTAATAGCTGTCACAATTTCCTCATTGGTAATTAAACCATTAATCTCTTTTTTCTGATCTTCTGTTAATTTAGGAAGATTAGCTTTACTTAAATAATTATTTATATCTATAGTTTGTACATTGGTACTCTTATATAATTTTTGATAATAATCTAAAAAAGATTTCTTAATCAGTTCTTTCTGATAAACCAATTTACCATTATAATTTATTTTATCTATAATTCTCTGTCTCTGTTTCTTTCTTAACTGATAAGCCAGCCATCTCCCTGGTTTATTAGCATTACAAAATGTATTTTGTTTCATAAACATTAAATTAGTTGCAGCTTGGTCAGCCATCAACATATTAAATTGTGTTTTTAACAATTTTATAGCTCCTTTCACCTTTTCATCTAAAGGATTTGAGATTAAAAGCTTCTCTTTTAATTTAATCTCATCTTCCAATTCTTTACGTTTCTGAGTCTGCTTTTGTCTATGAAAATTATTCATTTTTATCAAAATCCCACGCATAAAGGCTTTACTTGCATCCCATACCATTGACATTGATGTTCCCTTATACATATTTAAAACAAAATAATCCTTTAAGCATTCCTTTAATTTTTGAACATTTTTTTCTTGTTTAAATAAATTCTCATTCAACCTCCAGGATCTCCTCTCCTCTTTCTCAGCAATCAGTTCCATCCAAACTGGACTATGATCTGTCAATGACCTAGGAAAAATTTTTACATTCTTCACCCTGTTATATAAATCTGTTGTAATCAGGAAGAAATCAATCCTTGAGAAAGATTGGTGTCTATCTGAGAAGAAGGTAAAATCTCTTTCCTCTTGATTACGTTCACGCCAATAGTCTCTCAATTCCCAATCTTCTTTCAAATCAAAAAAAGCTTTAGGTAGTTTAGCCTGTTTGAAGAAGGTAGAAAAACCTTTTTTGTCCTTTTGTGTATCTAAAACACCATTCCAGTCTCCCATTAATATCACGGACCTATAATCCAACAGAGTTATTTTCTGATGTAACAACCTGTAAAATTGTTCCTGTTGCTGGTTTGGTGCGTACAATCCCACTATAAGTATTTTCTTACCATATAAGCCAAGTTCAATCATAACATATCTTCCTTGAGGATCTGATTCTACCAGGCAAGCTGGTAGGTTTTGCTTGACATAAATTACCACACCCCCTTTTTTTCCCAGGGGCAGGAGATACAAAATGAGATCCCAAGTGAGCATTAGCTAAATATTTTTGGTCTTTAAGTAAAATATGAGTTTCCTGCAAACAAATAATGTCATTATTATGTTGCTTTAAATAGTGAAAGATTTTTTTTCTCTTCTGGGGAAAATTAAGACCGTTAACATTCCAGGTCAGGAACTTTGCCATCTCCCTCAACCAGGAGCCTGGAGAAGATTCCCTCAAGGTCTGCTACTGAAGAATGTGTTGCAGAGCTTTTGGGTCTTGCTCCTCCCACCGGCATCGAAACAATCTGATGAGAAGATTCTTTAGCTTCTTTCTTCTGTTGTTCCTTTTCCTTACGTTTATGTGCTGCACGAGTCATTCTCTGTTCTTTAACCTCTGCTTGACGCATCCATTCCACCTGCCCAGCAGCCATCAAACCTAGTCCTTCAGACTGCTGTTCCACCTCTTTATCACTCAAGGCTCTCTGAGTCATGGATGAAGATGAGCCTGCTCCCAGGACTGTATTGTAAAATTCTTTAGCTTTAGAGACCGTGTTAAGTCTATAACGTGTCCCCGCATGGCTCAAAACAATACCCATCGGAATCTCCCATCTAAATGGCATCAATCTTGTTTTGAGTTCATTTGCTAAAAAAGCAAAATCTTTTCTGCTTCTTAAAATTTTGGATGGGATTTCCTTTAAGATAATGATATCTTGGGCAGCAATCTGGAATCTCTTGTTATAAAAAGGTTGTAAAATCTGATTGCGCAGAGACTTCTTAACAAAGTAAATCACCACATCTCTTGGCAAATTCTTCTGTTTCGCAATCCAAGAGTTAACTCTGTAAATTTTTTCCACTTCTCCACGTAATTCATCTTTATCTATGTTCAAAACAACAGCTAAATCATTGATCACCATCTCCATCAAATCTTGATTCATATCTTCTTTAAGACCCCTAATTCTTAAGGCATATTCCATCTGTCTATACTGAAACATAAGAATATCATCTTGTGAAATTTCCACCTTTTTTTTCCATATCTTGGAATTTATACTCAAGAAAATCTACTTTTTCTGCAACTTCTTCCACTCTGGAGCCCAGCTTCACGACCACAGAAGCCAATCCAGATAAAGCTGAGACTATATCTTGCCTCAAAATAGTATTATTCTATACAAAAAGCTCCTTCATTTCTTTCTTCATTTCCTCCTTACTTTCAGACTTGCTCTGTTCCAGAAGTTGCTTCACTTCCTCCCTAAATTGAGACACAGCATTTCCCATTATATCTTTAATG